AGATGGGCCTGGACATGTGATGACTTGAGCAGGGGAACCTTCCGTGCAATGCATGATTTGAAACCATGATGGCGTAGTGTTCTACCGACAGTGACCTTTGAAACTGTGGTCCCAGCTCTCTTCATGTCATTGACCAGCTCCTCCCTTGTAGTTCTGGGCTGATTCCTCACCTTTCTTATCATCAGTGATACCCCACGAGGTGAGATCTTGCATGGCGCCCCAGTCCGAGGGAGACTGACAGTCGTCTTTAGCCTCTTCCGTTTTCTAACAATTGCTCCAGCAGTTGATCACCAAGCTGCTTGGCAATTTCCCCGTAGCCCTTTCCAGCCTTGTGGAGGTCCACACTTTTGTCTCTGGTGTCTTTTGACAGCTCTTTGGTCTTGCCCATGGTAGTAGTTGGCGTCTGACTGACTGTGGGGTGGACAGGTGTCTTTAAAGAGCTCAGACAGGTGCTACTAATTTAGATTAATGAGTGGAGTAGAGGTGGAATTTTTCAAGGCATAGTAACAGGTCTTTGGGAGCCAGAAATATTGCTGTTTCTCAGGTGTTCAAATACTTATGTTCAGCAGTGCAAGACAAATAAATTCTTTAAAAATCATACAATGTGATTTCCTGATTTTTTTTTAATTCTGTCTCTCAGAGTGGGAATGCACCTACAATGTGAATTTCAGACCCCTCCATGATTTCTAAGTGGGAGAACTTGCAAAATCGCAGGGTGTTCAAATACTTCTGTTCCTCACTGTAACATGATGGGAAAAGGCCAATTATTGACTGACGTCTTTATTAAAATAATATGGGCTTGTTTAGCTGCACTGTAAATAGATAGTAACCTTGGGTGTCTCCAAATGAAACCAGGACTGACATTATAAAATATAACTTTCATAGTACACCCTGCTTTGTCATAGTCACAGCTTAGGTTCAGTGCTTGCTGAGGTACAAACAGGACCTGAGACTAACATTTTTCTTACTGTCCAGTCATTAGATTATTAACCTCTTGACAAAAATCAGCTCTACTTACTATATAAAAGAAAGCTGACCTCCTATTCAATTTAGCCATTTTAACTAAGCACCATTATAGATGTCAATATCAAGGACAAATACATAGTACAAAATAAATAATTCTAAAATTCATAAACCCGTGGAAAAGGGAAGCAACTGTCTTTGTGTGCTTCAGTTGTTGTTGTAACTCTGCAGAGACTGCTTTCTCTAGCTACTTTATAAAACATCAACTCATCCTTTTGCTGGGAACTGGCGATATGCCATAAAATACATATTTAAATAACCATATTTGATCCAGGCCAATTCATCCTGCCATGAAGAAATGAAAGCCATTTTTCCTCATTTACCCTAGCCTTCTTCTGTAGTTACCACCACAGTGTTAAAGTGTTTTTCCTTGTTTTCTGACCTATCTTCATTGTTACAACGGTGAATCATCATCTTAGACGTGACCTAAAGATTAAAAAAAAATAAGGTGTAGGCATGCTGTAGTTTTTCTATGCAGAAGCAACTCAGTTTTTACACATCTTGCAAACTCTTGCTCGAGAGACTTTTTTCTAACAAAATAAAAGTACTTAATGGTAAAAAAAAAAAAAACACGTTACATGTCTGTTAATGCCTTGTTTCTGTAACATTAAAGAGAATTGTTGTAAGGCTGGAGAAGTTACTATGTCTGTATTATGTCAGTTAAAATATGGGGATTCCCAATTACCTGCTTTGTTTAGAGTGTTACACATCTCTTTTCATCTGTACATGTATCGTTGTTTACCTATCTATGGAGGAGACATTCTAATTAATTAATGCCATTGTGGTTCATTGTGCTGTCCACTTGCTAGACAACACCAGCAGCAGGAGTTGGGCGCGTTTCACGAACTATCCTCTCGTTTTTAGGAAGAGACTCTCTGTAATTATTTCAGAACGATAAAACCAGACTATCTGGAGTTATGATAGGTGCAAAGCTAATCTAGAGGTACCCAAGAGTAAACATTAAATGGCTGGAAACGAGCAAAACGAACATGCCATGACCACTTTAATCATATTGTGACCCCCGTTTTATGACCTTTTGCTGGTGACAGTGACAGAGAGAGATGACATGGCTGGCATGTGTGAGCGTTACAGAGCTGTGTGTCCAGTGTAAAGGAATATTCCAACAACTTACAGTATGTGACTGTACACTGAAAAAAAAGATTTGTTGGATTTACTTGATTGTAATGTGCACATCGGTCCCACACAATGATAATGTGTAAAACCAACATCATTTTCTTCTGGGGTTAACTTGTTTGAATTATGTTAACAGAGGAAATATGAATGAATTGCGTTGCATATACTAGCATAATTTGTGTAAATCCAAAGACCCGGTGAGTCCTTTTTTTTCTAGTGTAGATTCATGATAGACAGTTTAAAAAAGGTATCCTCTTTTTATTCCATATTTCCCCCCTTTTCTTTTCAAAACCTGGTGCCTACATTACCAACAATGCAACTCAGCCACCAACAATATGGTCAGAGATTTTGGTGTGTTACATATGCTAGCAGCAACTAATGTAGCCTCAAGCAGAGTTAAGTAGTGGGTTCATGTCCTTCTTCATTTTTAATCATTCAGACTACATGACAGAACTGTAAACACACACTCTGATGTGTAAAACCAGTGGAGTTCCCCTTTAACTAGGTTTATGATTTTCTGCCAGTTTCTGCCTGAGCCACTGGAGAATAGTTAGACACTTTTGATGATGTGGATCAGGTCAGCTCGTACATTCCAGTAACCTACCTGGTAGCCTTCAGTCTTCTTCTGGCACCACTTCAGCAAAGCATTTCTCTTGGAGCCCCCATACTCTCTGGCCAGAGCTGACAGTGGGTCCTTTCTCTCTTCTCTGCCATAAACACATAGAAGAGACATGTAAGCAAAGACCCTGCCACAGATTATATGGTAAACAAGTTTGATTAGTGAGGTAAGAAGGCTGACAACACTTGGGCTGTATGTTTACATCAATCAGATGGAATCTAACAAGAATGAAAACAGACACAAACTTCTAAAGGGCCTTGTGAGCACATTTACAGGATTACAGGAAATCCACTTCTATCAATTAGCATCACATATAGGAGAGTAAGTACTTAAAAAGGAAGCACCTTAGGCGGCTGCGTGTAGTGGGGGTGATGGAGGCGGTGGGAGAGGAGGAGGACAGGGAGAGTGGAGAGGAGGCTGCACTCATGGCCATCAGGGAGGTTGAAGAGGCCCCATCTGGAGCAGACATGTCCCTCTTCATTTCCTCACTGCTCCTGCGGGACACTGCTCAGGACAGGGGAGACGATTAGAGACCTCCATTTTTTTTTTTTTTAACTAAACTGTAGACCGAGTTATTGCTTATAGTTTAACTGGCATCTCTAACCTGAGATTGCCTTGGACGAATCCATGTTGGTAACTCTCTGGAGGACAGACGGAGGCCGGCTAGTCGAGGTTCCCCTGAGAAGGTGCTCAGCTGTGGATATGTCACAGTATTTACATCACATACAGTAACTGTTTCTGTAAGAGACTTCCTGTTAAAATTTGATGTAACAGGGTCAGTTAAAAGCCACATTCCAGTCCCTGAGTTCAGGGAATACTGATGCATAAGGCTGATTCACAGTAAATTAAAAGTCACAATAAATCAGTGAAAAATAAACAGAACTTCAGAAACTACAGCCAAATCTGCATGTTCACAGAGAACACTTGGAGTCATTACTGGTAAGAATGACCTGAGGGAAATTCTATAGTATGTGCAGCCTCATTGCTGTATATCCCTCTTGTCATCCACTCTAGTGGTTTGATGTACTAAAAAAAATGACACCAGTATACAGTAAACGTGCTAAGTCCCAACTCCAGGCATCTGGGGAAAACGCTCCACTCTTTCGTGAGAAATAAAGGGACAGTCTATTCCCATTAATTGCTATGATAGTTTACTGTAACAAAAGTATAGCAGAGGACAAAGAACTCTTGCGTGCAAACCATATTTAAAAGTGTAGTATTCTGCACATACCTAAATTTCTGACAGATCTGAAATAAAAAACAATTACTAATTATCACCTGGCATGGCGATGTCTGTGTAGCTGGGCCTCTTATCGCTCAGTGAGGAGAGTGGCTTGGCTGCTGACATAGACCCGGTAATGGAGTGTCTCTGAAACAGCAGTAAATAACAGATGGTGAGTTTTACAGCTTTTGAAATGGATTGGGTGCTTTCTAATTGGTTGAAGAAAAATCTTTTACTTGAGATAAATAACAGTTTTTTAATGAAATCATTATCTGAAAGATCAATCATCACAAAGCTGAAAGCAGCTGGTTTAGGCTGGGAAGCTAGATGTTCACATATGAAAACAACAAACACTGAAATGGCTCTTAATCAAAAGGACAGGGAGTGTCATGTATATACACACACACACACACACATTTTACACACTTAACTGACGGTTAACTCTTAACTGTTAAAAGGACTTTATAGTAATTTTGCTAACTCAATCTGTCACCCAGTTGCCCTGTTTCGTTTATGATTTATATTTTTTACAACTGCGGTCGTGTCTATTAAAATTGTTTGTTGACTCTAAGCTTGTCTTATGTTGTTCTTCTGTGTAGTGAACTCAAATAGTACTTTTGGCAATAAATAACAAAAAAAGTAGAATACCAAAAAAAAAGGACATTTTAGCAACATATTCCCACACAGCCTTTCTTCCTCTACCTGTATGGGTGAAACAGCAGCTGCTGGAGGTGTCTTCATGGGGCTGGGGCTGAGGGGGGTGCGCTGTAGCTGGGCAGTTGAGGCTGTTGGAGCCACAGGGGCACCGTTGGGAGGTGGGCCTAAGTTAACATGGACAAAGGACAGTTATGGCTCACTTCAGAACTGCTTCACACAGGCAACTAAAACTCCTCATGTCTGTGTCGTGGTTAAAAACCACAGCTATAAATAAAATATGTTCCATGTACTGATTTCCAATTATATCAAATACTAAAATCAAAGGCTAACATTCCTATGAGTGTGACTTAGTTTTTTTCACTCTGTGAAACAGCAGTGCACTCTCTACTTAAATCAAAGAGCATTAGGACAAATAAGGATTCAGCCTACCATGTAAATGGCCAGTCTTATAACAATATGGGACAAACAAACATACAGATTCCTAACTAACAATAACAGTATAAATGTGAGAAGAAAGAGGAGAACATAACTGTGTGGTACCTTGTGAGGCACTGTCAAAGCTCTTGATGAGAGTTTTGACAGTGGGCGAGGGCTCTGAGGAGGTTGAAGATCGCCGGCTGAGACCCATTCCCTGCCTGAGAGCAGCCAGGTCTCTCTCCACTGCATTCATGTAGTTATACACTCGGCCTCTCTCCTCCTCCTGCCTGGGAAACATACTGTACTCAGTATGCACACTGATTGCTTCTATGGTGTCAGTTTGCACACTATGTTTTAAAAATGGCTCTTATTGACTGACATCCTGGAATTCAGAGAATTACAGGGAAACAACCATTTAAATTAATTTGTAATGGCACTCGAATGCACATTTCTACTCAGCATCCAGATATAATCAGATAAGGGAAGTTAAATCTCCCCTCACTTAGAATCAATCAAAGACAGACTATGTCACTGTGACCGCTGGAGCTCTTCCAGGCATCTCTATGGCCTTACTTGCGGCTCTTGACCTCATCTAACTCCTTGCTCAGCTTCTCGTTCTTCTCCTGGGCTTCCTGCAGTCGGCGTCGCAGGTCTCCAATCTCCTCCTGTGCTTCTGACTTGATGTCATTGGCAATGACGACAGCTGTCTGCAGATCAGCCTGGAACTGACGCCACTCCATTGACTCCTCCTGCATCCGCGCACACAGAGACAACAGCAAAGAGTTGAATGTTATTTAGCTTAAATGATACACTAAATCATTAAAGCAGTATTTTTGCTTTTCTTGGCCCCTTGGGGGCCTGTGTAAATCACACAGCATTCATTTGAAGAACTGTTTGTGTTCACTTGATGAATCCAAGTCTAATATTCACTCTCCTATTAGCTCTGTTTAGGTGTCTACCAACTCCTGAGGGAAATATCTGGCTCTTTAGCTGCTAAATGCTCCACTATGCTCATCAGCTAGTCACTAACTAGCCATCTGGTGCTGGTCAAGTGAAATACATTGGGTTTTTGGAGCTTTTTTTTTCCCTCCCCAGTGAAAACAGTTGCCTGCTATGTCTGGAGAGTGGGCTGATGAGAGGAGTGACAGTGAATTAAAACAGCTGCAGACCATAAAACCAAAACAGTGATTGAAAGACATTAAATATACAGGGAACTGCAAAGTCAGCTTACAATTGCCTGTGGGTTTGGCACTATGAGCAGCATCTTTCACATATTCAAATGTTGCAAGTGGCAAAAGAGATAAACATACTATTTAAACTAAAATGTTTGTAGTTCACTTTCTTCTAGTGCACTAGAAGCAAACTAAATTTATTGAAGTATTGTTTGACCCGTCTGTCTCAGATCTCAAACACCATCGCACCTCCATGCAGTACCCTTACCCTGAGTCTGCGGTGAAGAATCTTAATCTCCCTCTCCATGTCATGCTTCTGGTCCTGCAGCTTCTTCACAGAGTCTGAGATAAGAAGAGGAGACATGTTGGTGGTATAATGCCACCAGATGGGCTCTGAACCACAGATATCTTAGAGTAAGTCTGATGCACAGTTTATTATAGGAGATTAAAAGTTTTAAGGTGTAGAACATGACTCAAAGCAGTTATCTTAGTACATTTCTAAATGATCACTAGCTACCTGCTTGAATAGCATGACCAAACCCCATTAAAGTCTGGCCAATAGTACAAGTCTATACTCAGGTTACAGTGTGCGTTTCCAGCCCACTTACTCTCAAGGTCAGTGATGATGAGGTTGTCATGGAGTTTAAGAGCTCGGTGCTGTTCGACCTCATCCTCCAGCTCAAAAATGGTTTCCTTCATGTCTGCGATCTCCGTCTCTTTTTCCTGCAGGTCCACACGCTGCTTCTCCAGTGTGCGCTCCTGTTCGGCCATCTGCTGCTGCACCTGCTCCTGAAAGTCTCTGTATTCCCTGTCCAGCTGCATGCACAAGATGAAGAATATCCATCATTTTATTATTGACAAGCCATGAAGTAATTACTTGATTAAGATGAAGTGAAGCTTCAGCAGTGTTGCTGTATATTGTAATATAAAGAGATGTAATGTGTACAGCCTATGCCCTCTGTTTAGCCTTATGGTGGTGATGTACAAATAAGGGACGTGTACCAATCCCTGCTAAAGGTAGCCTCTGGGGAACACTAAATACTGTATGTGACATTTTTAGCTAACATCTGCACTGATCCATAAACAATAATGTGACATTTTTAGCCAACATCTGCACTGATCCATAAACAATAAAAGGGGCACTGATTCTGGTGACCCAAAAACTCATGAAATTGTTATTGTACCCTAGAGAAAGGCTTTATTTAGGTCATACACTTCAATTAGCATCTTATGGTTTCACACACTGTCTGTCTAAGAGCCTCTGAATTTACACCTCATATTCTCTTGCAGTCTTCAACTTTTAACTAACCTTACTAAGTGTCTCCTGCAGCCGGCTGAGCTCACTGTGGGCTTCTTCCAGCTCCTCCTGCATCTTCGCAGCCTTGGCCTCAGCCTCCTCTTTTCCCAGCCGTACACCTTCCAGCAGCTGGCAAATGTCATCTTTGTCTTCCGCAGTGTGAAGAGAGTACAGCTCGGCCACTTTCTGCCTTTCCTGGTCCAACTGGGCTCTGCATCGGCTGAGCTCTGCCTGGTCATTGCTCACTGCTGCCTTGTACTCCTCAAGCGCAGCTGCCATGGCAGCTCGATCCTGCCTCTCTGATTCCATGATGCGCTCCATCTGGTGGTTCCTCTCCTTCAGTGCTCCGATCATCTCCTGGGCCTCAGCGTTGTCCTGTTCGGCCATCTTTAGTGTGTTGGACAGGTGTTGCTGAACCCCAAGTAGCTGCTCCCTCTCAAAGCGTGCATTATCTGCCAGATCTGCATAGCGCTGCTCCAGCTCCATGTAGCGGCCACTCTTGATGTCCTCCTCAAGCACATACGATATATGATGCTCGTCCAAGAGAGAGCGTAGGTATTCAATCTGGCGACCATAGAGCTCCAGCTTGTCGCTCTGCTGGCACAGGGAGTCCATGAGGATCACCTTCTCCTCACCAAGACGCTCATTCTCTCCGTTTAGCTCCTGGGTGATTTGCTGCAGGTCAGCCAGCTCCTGTAGTGTGGCCTGGAGCTCCTCAGCAGTGCTGTGCTGGTTCTCTTCCATCTGGTGGATACGCTCCGTCAGACAGGCCACAGACACCTCACTAGCATTGCCACTGCTGCCCCTCCGTGAGCGCTCCCTACTGGGAGCGCACTCGGATTCAGATGAGGAGGATGCTCCAGAAGGGGCGTCCAGAGCGTCATCACTGGAGGTGACAGCCTGGTAGACCTCACTGGATTCACTATCAAGGTTGTCTGCCGAGCCCCCGTGCTGCTGTCCGGTGAGCAGATCTTCTAAAGAGCCAGGGACAGAGCCTTCCACTGAGGAGGTTAGTGTACCTGTGCCACCACCATCACTCTGCCCACTGCCTGCAGCTAGGTCTGGGCTTAGGGAGGCGTAGTTGAACAGTTTGTCAGTGCCATCCAGCCTCTGCTCCAGAGAGAAGCCCAGTGCATTGAGCCGGTCTTTCAGCATGCGGTTCTCACTTTTTAGCAGGTTCAGCTCTTCTCTGATGGCCTGGTTCTGCTCTTGTAGGAGAATGAGTGTGGACTCTACATCAGCTGCTGTGATGGCTGAAACCTGGGGCTTCTCTTCCTCCCCAGCTTCTTCCTGCAGGGGCACTTCCTTCCCTCCCATGCCAAGCTGGGCCCGCATGTCCCTCAGCTCACTGCGCAAGTGTAGGATCTCCACATCTTTGCTCTTAGCCAAACCAAGCAGGTCTTTTACTTTGGCCTCCAGAGCCACCTTATCACTGATCTGGCCATCTGATTTAGATTTGCTCATACGGCCCTCAGATTCTGTCAGGATTTGGCTGCGAGAGCGCTTCACTGAGGCCACATCCCCTGCTACAGTCCCTACCGACTGCTTCTTAGCAGCTGATGTCCTGGATGTCCGAAGACGGTCTCGTGATGAATTTGGCTCTTTGGAAGTCGAGGATGTCGTTCGCTTGGATGCTGTACCTGGCAAGACAGAATAAAGTAATCTTGACTTTTCTTAGAAAATATCATGAATTGGCAGAAATGAAGTTTTATATATACCTGATGTTGTCTTTGGCTTGCTATCCAGGTTGTTAGCGCTAGTCCCAACGGAAGCAGTCCTCTTTGTCTTGGTGACAGTACTATTCAATGGAGGATTCCCTCCAGCCATAGCTGCTAAAAGATCATCATTGCTTTTCACCTGAAACCACAAAAATTCAACACACATACTTACAAACAAGACAATAAACCCATATCCAAGCACAGCAATACAGCCCCATGTATCAGCTGCTACATGGTCTATCATATGATGAGTTTCACCTTAGACAGAGGCGCAGAGGTGCTCTTGGCTGAAGGCTTTCCGGTGCCAGCATTGACCGTGGCCTCGGATTTTCCTCGATCTCCGCTCACTTTACTCACCGCTGGCCGGACCGACTTCTTCATACTGAGCGGGCTGAGACCGATACATTTACAATGCGACCTGTGCACAAGGGAGGGAGGAGATAGGTAATGTGTGTCAGCATGCAGTGTGATGGCTCCAGGTTTCCATAGAGCCTATTCCATAAACACTAGAAAACACTGAGGCCACATATAACAACTGAGCATTTCTAAAACCCCCTGTCTGTGATTTTAAGCTTATTTATTATAGTTGGTATTTGGGAGGCACTGGTTCATTCTACCCTGCACATGATCCCTACAATAATTAGCTGTAGATACTGTAGTATAGTTTGAGATACTGTATATTTAATTAATAATCATTTACATCCTGATAGTTGGGCACTTGTGTGCAATCGCTATTTAAACCCTTGTGTCTTCAACAAAGCTACATTTGGTTGCTGTTTAGGACCACCTCAGATGCATGAACATAAGATAAACCCTGAACTAGAGGCTTCCAAAAGCTAACCACTACGTCCACCAGATGGCTCTCAAGTGTTTGTGATAGATCAGTCAGTGTAGCCTTACAGCTCTGGGGCTGCAATAAGGATGACAAAGGTTTAGTTTAATCTGTGTGGGTGGTTGCTGTTATCTGTGTACATTTATCTATGTGAAGAATGTGGCCTTACAATCTTCTTCTTAGCACAGAGACATACATAAAAGGTTTCTTCTAGCATTAGAGTAAGTAGCAAGGTCAAAAAAGGAAAAATAGATTCCTTCACAAATCAAATGGAAAGCTCCAACGAAATGTCATATTTTGTAAGGCAAAAACGTGTGTCAGTTAGCCCGTTACTGGCCGAGATCAAATGGAAAGCTCCAACCAAATGTCATATTTTGTAAGTCAAAAAATGTGTGTCAGTTAGCCCGTTACTGGCCGACCGGTCTGACACACTGCATTTCATCTTGCGCTGCCAAGAAATCCTTTAGTACCATGTTTGTGCATGTACTCATACCAGTTCACAATCACAGTTAGGCTAATTAAACAACTTGACAACCTAGAAAACATTCCTAATAACAATTTAATGAGGGCACATTCTTGAACACACATTGATGGGGTGTGATTCAAAATGTGTACTGAGTTAGTATCACATAATACAAAGATACTCTCTCAAACAAGTGAAGGACCAGTGACTGTGTTGGAGTGAACCGTTGCAATTTGGCCAATAAACTATGTTCATTTGGCAGCAGACATGTTGTTGAAACTGGCTATAACTAATTAAGAATGCTTGTGTACTGTATAGCATAGGAGGCATTATCAAGTATTGGTCACATGTGCTAAGGTCTGAAGAGAACCTGACTTGATGCCACAGTAGCAAAGAGATGTAATCTGGGACACAGCTGGAGACAAAGAGTACTTTAGCACACACCTGGATGTCTCGGAGCTCTCTTAAAAAGGAAAAAATGAGTTTAAGTGATTTACTGCACACAGGAAACCTGGCTATGATCTCTCTCTGAGTCAGTGCTCTGTTGTTTTCCTGAGAAGATTGTTGTTTGGATATGGAAAGACAATCAAATATTGGCAGTAAAATCTGACTTTAAATATAACACTGGAAGAAGCTGTAGCAGGAGCACAAATGTTAAAATGATTCACCTACTGAAGCCTTTAATTGAATCATGGCTAAATAAATACCCACTGCAAAAATGAATCAACAATTATATGTGACACAGCTGCACACAATAGCGCACATCTGACCCACATATTTTTGACTGCTGATACTTCCAGAGAATCCAAAATAACTTGCTACTAAACCACAACTTCACTCAACAATAAATACTTTCCTAACAGACTGCAGCTGTGTTTCCTAAGCACAGGTGTTACTTTAAATTATCCTGCACCAAATCTTCCACCTTGACTGCACAGACTCCCCAGAGTGATTCATTTTCTCTGCCATGAAGATATCTATTTGGCTGTTTCTGTCAGGTTAGGTATATAACCGAACCACAAAAAAATACACAGAGCACCTAGTCTTTAGGAGGAGTTAAGAAGAGTCTGATTGTATTTACAGACTTAAAAAAGTGAGTTGCAGGACTTCAGATCTTAAATCAGAATAACATTTTTCCAAAAACTGCTTGTTAAAAAAAAAAAATCCCTCTAACAGCCAGGTACCATTAAACCAACTTTGGCAATTCTGCAAACTGGAGCTGAAAACGTTTAGTCAAGTAAACAATTGTTAGTTAAACAGTAAATTAATCATCAACTATTTTGATAATAATGAGTAACTTAATGAGTAACTTTTCAACCAAATATTCTCCAAGTTTCTCTTCTCAGTTGAGAGGATTTGTAGGTTTTCTTTGCCTTATGTGACAGTAAATTGAGTCTAAGGGGCAGATAATATAAGCAGTTTGATGGCATCAGCTTGGGCTTAATATCAAAAGCCAAATAGGTCATAATTCCTCTGCTGTTCCCTGCCAATCAAACAGATTAATTATGACCCATTTGGTTTTAAATAGCTTTAGGAATTAGGATGTGCCAGTTTTTTGCAATACTGTCTGATACTTTGGGACAAAATGATTAATCTAGGAAATAATCATCAGATCGAAAATAATCATTAATTGCAGCCCGGACATGGACTCATTTGGGCACAAACACAGTTAAAAATGAGTCTTAACATTCTTCCAGCTTAAGATAGAGAAACATTAACAGGACCCAGCTTACTATGGTAGAAAACAAGTGGATGGTGTTTTACAAATTAATAATTTGTAAAATAATCTCTTCGCGCTTTCATTTAGCCATAACACATCTGTTCCATTTTTGCAAAGTATTTTCTCTGAGTACTAACATGTGTGCTCAACAGCCAGCCAGTTTGCTGAATAGCTGAATGTGTGTCAAAGCAGATGTCTGAAACGAGCTGCTAGCTGGAGCACAACCCTTTTCGTTGGATCTGAACAGACACAGGAGCGCAGGCTTGGGACCAGCACAGCAGAGAAATGGGGCAGAGTTAGCTATCTTTTCTTCAACTCTCACTCTATAACTTCACCTATCTAAAACAACATACAGTAGTGGAACAGACCTTTTTCTGCTTTTGCTTACCAAACCAACAATCCCTTGGCACAATACAACTTATGTTCTCAAACACATTAAGAAAAATATACATGCCACCTTGGCATTAACTCGCCAAGTCTCTAAGGGGATGAACACCGTTCCCAACAGATATTCCCTCATGTGGTGTTTTGATGATGGTGGTGGAGACGCTGTCTGACACGTCACTCCAACATCTCCTATAGGTGTTCAGCTGGGTTTAGATCTGGTGACTGTGAAGGTCACAGCATGTGATTTTCAGTTATTCAGGGGTTTCCTTCGTCAAACTAGTGTATATACATACAGACACACTCACACGGGCCTGTGACTCTCAGATGGTTGGTTCAGTCTAAAAAATGTAGTCAAAACAAGTTGTTCTTCTCTCAGCATGGTAGTTTCTAAAAACATATGTGATGAATCACGCTGTGGTAAAAACACTGCTGTTTGTGTAATGCAGAAAAACAATTTTTCTGATGACTCCGCATTATCTGATTGGCTGTGTATGGCATAATGATATATTCTTGTTTAAATATAGCCAAAATCTAAAATGACCAGCATGATGAAAAGGCCATAGCGCAGTCATGTTTGTCTGACACTTAGGTGATTCACTGACAACTGCATAAAATGGTGAAAAAGGATGGCTGCACCATATGAGTGACCGCAAGGATGCAATTATTTAAAATGTAATAACTTTGCCTATAAAAAGTCCATTAATATATATCAGCTAAACAATGCTACAATATGTGCAAATCATGACAACACTGTTGTATAAACTGGTCCACACCGGTTCAGAAGCCTGTAACACTTGTCCCAATTCAAAGTAAACAGAAGTACAGTATTTGATTACAATGTTAATGAAGGCAGTGGATCTAATCCAAGGCTAGCCCAAAGGAACAACTGTACATAGTGTTCCTTTACTGCCTGCTCAACAAAAGCATACCACTGAGACAATGAACAAACAAGTAACAGTCTAGGGAGAGAAGGGGGTGGGGGCAGTGGTGGTCTAGTAACTTATAAGCGCCCCTTCCCTGATCTGATTCTATACTCATGCTTTAACTGGAGGGGAGGCACTTCCTTGCCATAACATCAACTTCCTGTGGTGGCGTCTCTAGTAAGAAACAAAACAAAATATACAGTAAGGGATAATGTGTGTACAGGGACAAGCAGGAACCAGTCTGCCTGAGACACAGCAGACACTGTCAAACCTTGAATTTCATTTGCCAAAATATCTAGCTACCTATTTTTATGACATAGCCTTCAGTCAAATAACAATAATACCAATTTCGGTATTTCATTGCAACTACATACCAACAAAAATGAAGGCCAACTTAGAAAAAATCCCTAATATATTTACCTCTTTGGCATGATCAGCGTCAACTTAACATTGTAGAACATAAAATATTAAATGGATATAAGTAAAGGCCATGTTGAGCTGTGTTGTGTTTGTGAATAATCTCTCATCTTCCACTTCATTAACACACTGTGTGGAAAACCTCTCATGCAAACACATTTCTTTCTTTCCCTTTGTTCAGTGTTACTTTGGGGCAAAGCTCCCAAGAGATTTTTCCCAAGAATATTTTTCTAAAAGTACTGCTATGATCACATACAGCCAAGATCTAATAACTCATAACTCCTGGACACTGATTTAAAGAGTGGCTTGTGAAATACTGGTCTTTCTCAGCTTTCCCAGGGAAATAAGAAAACATATTTGTTGCCCCTTGGTTAAAAAAAAAGAGAGAATGCAAGAGAAAGAATGATTTACTAAGCCATACACAGAGCCTAGAAGCTCTGCATTCGTGTGTCGTTTGCAAAAATGCAGTGACAAGTTGCACCACCAGTTCGATCTTGACTCTTGGTGTGGGGGAGATTTACATTGTTCTTAGCTATATTTACATGGCTAACATTAGCATTGACTGTGCATTATTCAACCACATAATCGCGTATGTTACCAAATAAACCTTTTAGGTAAGGACAACTAACCCACTCTATGGAATAATCCAACGTCAGCACATACCACAATCAAGACCAAACAGCAAATACAATCTAAGGAGAAACCCCAGATGGCTACTTAGCTATAGGGTAAGGCACGTAGAGAATTACGTAGGGAATGTCAGTCATTTCACTTCCCGTTTGGCCACACGCTTCCAAAACAAAAGCACCGAACTATACACTTGAGCACAACTTTTACACCAAAGTATGACAATTGTATCAACTCCGCTAAAGGCAGGGTCGGAGTATATGAACCTATAGTGAAAGATACTATACAAAGCATACAATATGGTTATGAAGAGCAGATATTTAGTGGCATGTTCGCAGCGTGACGGGGACCACAATCACTGAAGACCTATAAAGGTTTTGTCAAAAATCTATAGCCTTCCAAAACACTAGTCAAACTAGGTACTGCAGAACAGTTTTAAGACTACTACCCACAATAACAACAAATTTTACATTTCAATTTTGAAGTAAACAAAACATTGCCGTAGTTAAAATATCTTAAAATTGAAAAACAAGCTCCATCCAGCAACACCTGCGGTTAAAAATCTCTATTTATCTATTATACTAGTCAGTCGTGAGTGACTCTAGGGTAAAATGTCAATATAGTGTGAAGATTTATTTTGAAATCATTCACAGTACGGGCCCAAGTCAATTTTAGTACCTTGACAGCTGAAGTAAAAGCTGGGTTGGAGGGTTAAAACAACAACTACCATACTATGTAAAACAAAGACAGCGAGTCTGGGTAGCTAACGTAACTTTAGAGTAGGTGTGTGTGTTTTTCCTTCGGTCAGGTAATTTATCTCAGCTGTCAATAAGAAATGCCGTATCTTAAGGTTGCTAGCGCTAACGTTAGGCTAACGGTGTTAGCATAGCCGGTATAAAGACAGCGCTGTGTCAGTAAGCTGATAAAATATTCATACCTGAGGGTCTCCTAATTTTTCGTCTTGGTTAGATTAATAACGATCCGGTTGTCGTCCATTTGCGGTCACTAACTTTGCTAATCCTACAACTTCAGACGGCAGCAGGCAGCATCGGTTTCGTATGTCAGCTCCTTTCTGTTAGATGATGCTCTGCCCCCTCCTGTGGTTGCATCACCCCCGTGCGGGGGGCAATCCACTACTTTCGTATTGGCGAAATACCCACTGGCTCATTTAAATGTTGTTTCCAGATTACTCCAGGAGCTGGTCCAAAAGCATGCAGTTTCTAACACCCATTTTATAAGGGAGGAGGGGTTACTGGAGTATCATCAGTATTTGTGAATTATAGCTGGACTCTTTTTAGGCTGACATGAATATCTCACATAGTTCATACAGTAATGTAGCCCATCTCACACCGTCATTGTCATCAACCTCTTAGGTTATGTGGACATAGGACCATGTCATGAGAAGTTATTCATCATAAATCAAAATTGTATGAAAATCTATACCTTTTCCTCTTTTTCAATTTTTATTAGATTTTTTTGTTTGTTTGTTTAATATAGTGGCAATGTTTGGATTAAAAGACTGCAGGAAACATGGAACTCACGAAAGCCCTAAATCTGGGATAATACATTTTGTGTTTAGTTTTAGAATGACTGTAGTCATGTTTGCATAGTATCATAAGGTATATGCACAAAGAACAGGTAGAGCTGCTGCCAGTGGTGGGGTCAGCTGCTGAAGTATGACCTTAGTTCAGTGGCTTCAAAGAAAGAAAGAGGACTAAAACATTGCTCAACCTGGTGAGACAAAGCAACATTTTAGAAGGAATGTTTTATTTAACAGTGAGGAAAGAAAACACAAGAATATGTTATCAACTTTTATTTACAGAAATCATACATACATGACACACTGGTCATTACCTTAAGAACGACTAAGTTATTACTTATTTTACATGAATCATAAGCACTGCAGCTTACAATCTGTGCTAACAAGTGTATACTTGTGGTGATTGGGAAAAAAAGTATTTACGCACACAGTATATTTCCACAGAGATTTGAAACATATACTAGGTATGTGGATGAAAAAGCTGTTATTAACTCAGGATTTTTAGATGTGATCACTGTGCTTAAAGGATCCTACTAGGGAAAATTTGGTACTTCAGATCATCTCAGGTGCTCTCGTCTCTACAGCAGTGTGGTTTTGCCCTATAAAAGTAGAAGATTACAAACAAGGAATGCAGAAAGTAACACACATGCATTAACTCCACCCGAAGAAATCAAATCAGTCTAAAACAATGTGGACAAAAACATATGATGTATGGACAAAAGACAACAGTGAAATCAAAATTACACACAGCAGAATATACATTTCTCTGGGTGGGAGAATCAGGCCACACCTTTTCCTGGAATGATTTGCCTTTCATTTCTCTGGACCACCTCCAAAGAAGCACTCATATCACATACACAAAAATGTACTTGGACACCACCAGGAGAATCTGCAAACTGGATAAGGACACATTTCAAATGGTCTGGTCAACATGCCTGCATGTTGTGAATTGTACAGGTTTCAGTCTCATACTTCTAATTCTGTACAAAGTTATAAGTGTAAACATTAGAGTAAATGAAATGTGCTATTGGTCCTCAACAGGGAAACATTGGCACAGGCCAGCTTTCAACCAACTCAAACATTTCTGAGAAAAAAAAATATGTATACACATGAAAAATATATATTTCAGTTCATCCAACCATTCATCCATCCACAGAAATAAATCCAACAACAACAGTGATCCCAATCTGGGAACACAGAGCTCATGTGTACAGTGACAAAACAAGGCAGGGGAACATATTAAAGTACAGCAAATAATGCATGTTCAGATTTAAATTAATAAAGGAGCGATATATTTTGTCCATGCATCATTTAGGGATGCCCCATAATGACACAGCAGGTGAGCCTGTAAGTGAACAGCACACACTCTTATCACATCTTCAAAAGAAATGGCTTTGGTCATGGTGGTTGTGTCCAGTTTACAATGTGTTGACAGTTCCCCCTGGTGGCAGAATAAAGCATCCTCAGCATAAACAAACCAGCCATGGCTGCTCAGTAGCATTCACCTCATTGTGCTATGGACATTTTCCCCCTGAACAGGAGCTTTATGGACAAGGGTATATTGTGCCTGTTATACTTCAGTAGAGAAAAGAAGGCTTTGACGTTTGCTGTCAGGTGCTGGAATGCCCTCCAGCTGAAGGAAGTAGAGGAGGACTTGAACCTACAGAGACACATAAGAGGTGGTCAGACCCACACAGGTAATCCAAACATCACTGTCTCTACATTGTGACAAGAGTTTTACCTGAGACATGACTTCTAGAGACCAGCTGTCATTCATGGAGATTGGCTGTGAGCTGTTGGAGATTTTGCTGTCTTTTTCAGAGGGTCGAAGCAAAGTGGGACCAAAAACCGTGGCCAGATTATGCAAAGACATCTTGTTGATGCTCTCATTTTCAGCCACCCTGTAGGAACAATGAAAAAACTGACACTCAGCCCTACAGATGCTCACAAGAACTTTTTAAAATTCTGTTTCAATCACTACCACAGTATGTTGCCAAATGTATAGCATAAAAATTGCTGTAATTTTTCTATGATCAGTAACAGACATACAGTATACAACTGGTGCAAATACACAATAGTTCAAAGAATGTGTTGTAGCTACCTTTTTAGGTGATCCAGCAGGAAGAGGAAGGTGACAAGATTGGGCTCTGGTAGAGACAGCAGCAGGTTGAGCATGCAGCTCTCCTTGGCCACGCTGTCAGACAGAGCTGCAAGGCAAAACACAGACGTGAATGCACTGGTGTTACAACTTGCAACCACCCTCCCGATCAATGAAAATGATGCAAAAATAAAGACGTGGTAACTGACCGAAGGCTCCGGCAAAGTTGGGGTACAACTCATCAGTGAACAGAGGCTCTGGGAGCTCGCGGAAATACAACTTCAGTGTTCCGGCAATGGCATTTACGTCCATGGCCCTCATCATGACAGACACATCCTTGTTGTCTACAGGGCAGATGAGACAAAAGTCACTAAATACCAGCCTCAAGTCAGTCCCGCAGGGCTCCATCTTTGGCTAGGTCTACAAGTGAAATATCTGTGATTGTTTCCCACATTTGTCAAACCCCTTTGAAAAGAAACTAAATTCAGGCTGAACTCACTTGAATCAAACGCAGCCTTCAGTGCCTGGATGTCAGTCGCGACGCCAGACACTCTGTAGATTCCCACCTCCTCCATCCCTCGTCGCTCAATCTCCTCCACACACTGTCTCACAATGAGGGGGACCTTGGAGCGCTCTCGCCTAGTGATGACACAGTCACATAGACACAAGGTCTGAAGGGGCTACATACAAATCCCCACATTGTAGAAATGCTTTTCCCACTTATGACAACTCAAAGTTCCTAACCAAAGTTAGTGTTGAGTGAGGAAAGGTAGCATTTCTCTATATTTTAAATGTCATTGAAAAACCAAAATCCAAACAAAAAGGGGAGAAGTTCCTTAAAAGAAACCATTAAAGCATATATGTGGACTTGTCAAGGTGTAGAAATGATCACAGACAAGTACAGGGGCATGACAAACACACTAAAGGCATCAACAACTCACTTAGTCACTATGTTGATTTTCACTCCAAAGATGCCGGACTGTTTCCGTGAAGGCATCCTCTTCAGACTGAACTCTCTGCTGGTGAATTTCATCGAAAGCTTCACCTCAATCTGAAAAAAGCAAAGGAAACCAGGTACTTTAGACAACTACTGTACTTTACATGATCACATTCATTTACAAACCTTAAGGATAACAGCAGTGAGTCAGTAAACTAGTTAAGTAATGTTAGTTTCACAGCAATACCTATCTAACGTTTGCTAACGTTAACTACAATAGCAACCGCACCCATTATGCTGTAGCGACAAAATTCTCAAGTGTATTAAACTGACTCAGATTAACAAGAGTTTAACAAGAGTGCATTTTATTGCTTACGAGTTCAAGTTTTTATTTGTAACATCAAGAATGTTGTGTTATTTCAGTTTTACTTCAATGTATGCATCTTTGTTTTTAGCATTATCAAAAAGCACTGACAGAATCCAACCAGCCTTTACTGTTGGATAGTAGCTGTCCTTTACTACTTGTGTTAGACCAACCACAATTATTGCCAAAGCTAAAGTTGGCTTCTGGCTTGTAGCTTCCGATCTGAAGGGGGAAGTTAAGGGAAAGGGAAGTGAGCAACAGCTAATTTTTCTATTC